TCTCTGGATTTGCTGTTCTGACCAACCATGGTCTCTCATGTAAGTGAAACTGGGTTTAAGTGCAGGCATTCTGGAAAGAATTACTGCAGATCACAAAGACCTAGGCTGGGGCCAAGATGTTACGAGGAAATTGTGTCCTGTCTAGTGACCCAGATATCCTGCCTGTTCCATACAACATTCAAGATTATGGATCTTCTGGGATAGACAAAGGTCACATGGCCCAGTGCCACCCAGGTTCTCACTTCTCTTAAGGAGACTGTCTATTGGGAAGCAGAGTGTGTGAAGACTGAAATGTGTGGCCACAGTCCAAGGTCTGCTTGTGGCTGTGAGTTGTTAACAGTTCAGAAGTGGAAAGTCATAAAACCAGATACTAGATGTTGACTGATGCCAGTAATCCAATAAAAGCAGTAGTGAGACTCTGCTCTGCAGACAAAGCTACTGAGTTTGGGGCACGTACAGCCGATGCGTGAATGTGGACGCTCCCTCAAAAAAACCGGATTGTAGGGAAGCTGGTTTGTCACCTGATGGTAGCTCCGCTCCCTCAGCCCGGGAGGGCAGCACAGAGCTGGCGGCACCAAGAATCCGCCAGGCCGGATCCTCTGCTCTGAGCAAATACGACAGCTCTGAGGTATTTCGCGTGAGTCACCTGCAGCTGCTGGGTGAAGATGTGACCAAAGGTCATTGCTCTCCAAAGACAGGTCAGGCAGGCCAAAATGCGGCTACTGGAGAAACAGGGAGACAGAGGTAGCGGGGAAGAGGTGTGGTAAAGAATTAACTAACTACCTTGTTCTCTGCTTATCCTAATGGCCCAGAAGGGTGTTTGCCCATGGAATTCAGATCCTAATCAAGAACTGTAGCCTAGAAATACATTTGATAACTATTCTGCCTTTAAATTGCATAGATTCTCCAAGTGGAAAGCTTTTCTCTATTCATATTTAAGGGCTCAGCGTTTTAATGAGTGATTTTGGTCAAACAAGGGCTCAGGGCACAAGGTGATACTGTGCTGTGAAGAATTAGCCTAGAGCAAAACGTGAATTGCTCCCCTAACCTTAGCTGTGTGGGCTCTCCTTCCTTCTGGCTTAGCAGGATCTCGACAGTGTTTGCTTGCTGGTTCTGCTGCTGTTACCCACATTGTGGAGCCCTTTTTTCTGAAGTTATTGGGATGCATCATGATCACCTTCCCACACAGAACTATCTGACTTTGCTCAGACAGTTTTCTAAAGGAAAAGATGAAAGATGTAGGTGAATATGTGCTGTGGAGTCTCTCTTCCCTCTGTTCTTGGGGATGACTGTGGCCTTTGCCTATGTTTGGGAGATGCTTTCTTGTGTGCTTGATGCATTTGGCCCCCAAGTGGGTATATTCTTAGCTCCCATGTACTGTATTGCAATACTGGATGCTGGCCAAGAAGGGCCTGCTGTGGAACTGCTCTAGTGAATCATTTTGGAAATGTTAAACTTCTGTACTGTAAATCCATTATCTGGTTATTCCCATATATCAACCGCCAACAGAGCCTCCTCTGAGGATTTCCGTTATACAGACACCAGGAAATATATCAGCTGAATCTGTGGGTTTACAGTTAAGATTGATTCACTCCTTCCCATTCCATCCAGCATGATTTATAGTGGGATTTCACCAGTGTAAAAACTTTGGGAGTAGGCTTATAATCCAGAAACTCGTACTGTGTGCTGGTAAGATGTTGACTCACTCAGTGCTTACTGTCTTGCT